GCGGCGTTTTCAGCTGAGTCATCCGAATCCCTGTCGAAAACGGCTCCTATAGATAATCTTCATTGGTAGCTTATCTATGGGAGAGCGGACGGGATCCCGAGTTTTCTACCGTCTGTGGTCGTATGTGCTTGATAGTAGCCTGTGACTGCTTTATATTGTTTCAAGCCCTCTCATTGACGATGAATCCTTCGCAAACTCTTGCGAAGGGAGAGAGTCAAGTCACTAGAAGTGGTCATCGAAATGTGCATGGCATCATCAGGTACAAAAGAAGAGTGGGCAAATCCATAGAAGACAAAGTAAAACGAGAGTTCAGTTGCTGAAGTGATCAAAAGTCATGGATAGGTTTTTCTTTCAACTAGTCGGTCATTTAATGGGTATCATTTGGGTATGTAGTTCCTGACCAGACGCACTGCTTGAAGTCGAGTATTCCGCGATTTTCCGGCTGCCCTTTCCCTCCCTCCACCTATCAAAGAAACACCCTGGCAAATGGCGCCGACTCCGAGGTTTGGATATGAAACAAGACCGGGAAAAGAGAAAACCAATAGTGACATGATGATGGGAAGTTGAAGCGCCAGATATTACAGTAAAAATTAGGAGATAATGAGTTTGTACAGAATGTTCATGTGTGAAAGTGCATCACCGGATGATGAGATCCATCGTGATGAATGGTAGCCGCAGTTTTATTTCTGTGTTGGCCGGAACACGGCACTAGTGAGGAATATCTCCTCACTGTTAACCATTCGTGCGGCAGTAGCCGACTGACATGTTAAGTTGTTGCTGCTGCTGTTGGTGCCACATTTTCCACCCTGAATGGTCTTCTCAGCGGTGTTGATAGCGAGTGCAGGCTTAGCACGAAGCCCGTTGAGCATATCAATGCTCATGGCGCGGTGTATGTGTTTCCGCCGGCTGGCTGACGGCGGTGGAGCGGGGGGAGGTGCCTCCTTTTTGACTGCCGGCTCTTCCTTGATGACTGGATGTTCCCTTTTCACCGGAGAATATATCTCAAGCTTGACTGTATGCCGCTTCTCCCTATCAGCAGTGGCACCATCGCCACCCATCTGGGTGAGCGCATTTTCCACATCAGCCAAGAGGGCGGACACATCACTGCCTGCAAAGACCATGATGGTCTCGGCGCGCCGTGAACTGCCGCCTTCCTCATCATTTGCAGCTTCTTCCTCTTCGTAGAATGGCTGTTCCATGATGGTGGAAGGTACGTGAGCAGCCACTCTTGGCGGTGAAGATGATGTAGAAGCGGAAATGATGTGTGAGGAAAAGGACATCTTCGCCGGGCTGCGAGGTGGCGTAGATATGTTGCCGGCGCCATTCGTAGAGCTCAAAGAGCTGACTCCCATGGCGCACTGCAGACTCTCGCTCACGCCAGCCACGGATCCGGTGGACAGTGAGAGTGTGGTGGCAGCAGCAACGTGCTCGAGAAGCTTTTGCCGAACTCGGGTCCGGCGATTCTCGGCTTGGTCGAGCTTGGTTATCCAGTCATCTATTGAGGCGTCAAGCTCCGCGAGAGCCTCTTCTTGCTTCAACATGGACTCATGGCTGAACTTTGCTGTGCGCGGAGATCGAAGATATTGACATATCCGAGCATGGAGGTTACGCCTACCAGCGCGGAGGGATGTGTAGGTGCGTCTAAGATAATCAGTCCGCTCATCTAGCTGCCGTAGTTCCTGTTGGATTGTCAGTTGTGAACCAGAGCACGAAACAGAGGGTGGGCATACCTTGGAGAGGTTGTCGACGTCTTCCTTCCGCAGTACCTCAAATCTAGCAGCTTGTTGAAGGGCCTGCTTCCGTAAAGCAGCAGTCTCGCTAGACTTGAGCATTTTGACCGCATCGCTAGCCTTCCATCCCTTTGGCAATTGTTCAAACGCCCGCCGTTCTGCGCTCTTACTCCTTTTGGAGCATGACCTTTGCAAGATGGTACCCTCGCATGTCTCGCTTCTCTTTCGTGGCCGGCCCCGTTCCATGATGCTTCCCGTTTCCGACTGACTCCTCTTGTGCCCAGTCTTCGAGGTACTCTGAGGGCTCTCAGCAATGCCTGTCCCGAGTGCTGATGGGAACTCAGGGGTGCATTGAAGGGCGCTTTTTGGTGCATAATTGTCCACCTTATCCCATGGCATCGGCGAGGATCTAATGTCGGCGGATGCTGATATAGGCGTTGGCAGTGTGGAAGCAGTCCTGGCGCTTGTTGTTGCAGATCTCGGGGCGCTTGAAGCAGCCGAAAGGGGTGTAAACGGCGTCCGCGCTTTGGGGGAATCTTCGAATCTTCCCGATCGGATAGTAGATTCTACAGGTGTGGTACCTGCTCGTAGACGACTGCATGATGCCTTCTGATGAAGTCTATGAGTGGCAGAGCTGAGCGTCGGAATCACCAGAGGAGTGAGGTTCCTGGGCGACAATGGCTGTCGAGCCTCGTTTCGAACTTGCTGGCTTCGGTTGTTACTTTGGCGGATGGCATCAGGCTGTGCTCGCTCAGCAGGCACTCTATCATGGAGTGTTCCTTTACACTGATTAGGCCTTGATGGAAGGCCTGGGGCACTAATAGAACGTTCATGAAGCGCCGGACGGCCGGGAATGGTGGCTAGAGCCTCTTGTCAGTATGAATAGAACAAATTCCATCTGTGGTAGACATACGGGAATCCATGGGTGCCTCTTGAACGGTCGTCATCGGGCCAAGTTCAGGCACGCTCACTTTCCTCCTGCGAGTAAGATTCTGATCCTTTACATGTATCCTCAAACTAGATCCAGCGTTCAACTTTCCACCGGCTTCGTTGTTTGGTCCCATACTCAGAACAGAGGATTGCTGTGGGTCGAACAACTTCTCAGAAACTGTCGACGGTGTGTCCTTGGAGCTTTGATATCTCTTCTCTGGTTGGTACAATCTCCACGTGAACGGCTTCTCCCCTGACGGCGAAGCTCGACCTAGCTGCAATTTGCATAAATGTGTAAGCATTAACCGGCTTTTGTTGGGGCTTAAGACTTGGAGTGACGTACCGATTCATTGGATGATTGTGGTGTGACTTCCTTTGCTATGTAATTGTTGAGGCAAAGGCTGAAATCCTCGGAATCGGAATCCAGCATACAACTAACAATATGAGCCATGAGTCCAAGGGGTCGGTCGAGCCGTGTTAGAGATAGATGACCAAGCTTGCGAGACCAGATGTACAGGAAGCCGGAAGAGGCCAAGAAGGGAACAAGGTCTTCAAAGTGATGATGATGGGCTAGGGGTATGAAAAGGTATATAAGTCATACACGTAAACTGGATTTAGGACAGACCTTGTCATGAGTCAAGACCGTGGTTGGTTCCCAGACAGGGTTGAAGGGACTAGTACGGGACCCCTTGTAGATATATCGACCGGGAGAGGGGACTATATCATAAAAGCAACAACCCTCGAGACCGATAGATGCTTTAGATTTCTCATCATGAATCCCCACAGGAAGGTAGGGTAGGGTGCCTGGCACCATCCTAAGCTAACCTGAAGCACGGGGAAAACCCATTATCCATGTAAATGGTAGCAGCATACTTACGCCAGCACTGAAGAAAAGAGGAAGAAATATGGCGAGGCGTACGATACGAAGAATGCCAGCCCAGGCTCGGGTCCTCCAGGTATGAGAACCGAGAGTCCCGTCATCCAGTCTCAGCCCAGGTGAAGCATGCAGGTGGATACGCGATGCTGCGGTAGTCACTGGGAGTGCAACAGAGTATGCAGGCAAGGCCGGGGTAGAAGGGCTGGAAGGAGAAACAAGCAGGAGGCTATTCCGACAGAGGAAAAGAAACAAAGGATTTGGGGATGGCAGGTTGAAACCGCTTGGACCCTTTCCACGAGTTCGCCATTGGCCTCTAGCCCTGTCCGTCTCCAGTACGTACCTCTTGAACCCTCTCCGCTCCGGATGGCATGCAAAGATTTCCAGGGATATTCTCACCAAAAAAGCACGGGGTAGCCATCCGTCACCGTGGCACTGGCAGGGGTTAAGCAGCGTTCGCATCGATGCTTGACCATATTCGGCCTCGCTATGACGGCGATATCTCTCGACTGAAGGCCCCTGTCATCCAGCCAATGGCCATTGAACTGGCTAAATGAAGGAGGTCCGTTGACAGAGATGGAGAGCATCTGTGGAAGACACAGTACCTCCATATCTTCCACGAAGCGTGGTGTTGAGACCCCCATTGAGATGTGCATCGCCACTAGGTCCGGGAGCACATCGGCGCACACTTTGAAGGTTGCCAGTCGTCAATCAGCTACAGCACACCTCCAAGCTCGCAGCTTCACCGCATTCCGAGTGGAAAGACGGGACGGGAAGAGCAGAGGTGGCAGAAGCGAAAAGCGGGGGAGACCACCTCATCTGCAGTTGCACGGACTTGTCGACGACAACTTTTGGGAGCTTTTGTGCGTGATGTTCGGTCGGGTGAGCTCAGGTCTGATACTGACATGGCCGATATCGCGGGTTCGATGCCAGACATGACGAATTTGATAGACAGCAGCTCGAGGGTCTGGGCAAGGAAGCTGACCTAGTGCTTGACAGGTCAGATCAGACGGGCACCAAAGCACGAATACCTCGTGGCGAGCTCGTGGCATGAATGATAGCCCCGTCTTCCCGCCAAAGCGCGAGTGGATTTCGGATGGAATCAAGGCAGCAATGGAAAGGCATGATCGAAGTGGCAACTGAATCGAAGCCGTTGAGGACGAGGTTCCATTGCCAAGGGGAAGTTGGCCAAAGCGGAAGTTCTAGATGCACGAGTTATTTTTGACCTCGTGACTGGCTTGGGGGAGGGGAAGAAGGAGAAGAAGGAGGGGGTCAAGGTCGCAGCTAAGAATTTGGAAGAAGAAGAAGGCAGAGGGAAGTGATGGAAGGAGGCATGGGAGCAGAAAACTACACTAGAAACAGCGAAACAGGAAGTTGCCATGGTGAAACAAACGAAACCTCAGCAGTTCAGCTCCCGTCCGCCCAAGACCCGAGCGGTGGAGACGCCCGCTTTGTCATCGTAAAATGGCACCTACATCCCTAACCCTATCTGCCATGCACCACATCGGTTGGTCTCCGATTGCTTGGATTCACCAAGGTCCACAGGGGCTTCATCAACAGACAACAACCGGAATCTGCCCTCAAAAGCTCACAACATGCGGAAATCGTTGGGTTCATGGTTGATACCAACAAAAAATCGACAACAATCGCTCGACTCACACTGAACTCAGCACTGCCTTTTCTATTCATCACCCGTTTGCTGCTTTGTCTCATTCATTCAGGCCAGGTCGCTGCCATCAAAAGTCATAGCGTGCACACCACGTTTTGCCCCTCCAAGTCTAGGTATTCAGACGACCCATGGCCGATATGCATCACTAAATTCTCATCACGAAGGGCTGTGTGACGGAGGCAAGTAGAGCCGAGATGGTGCCCTCTCACTCTGGATAGCTCACGCCGTCCTCCGCTTCCGGATCTTGCTCTTGGGGTTTCAGTATACCCAAGATCGAACCTGAGACGCCGGCGTGACCCAGAACCACGGTCTCTCCCTCAGTTTTCTCGTGGTCGACTTCCTCGACAGCAACACGGAGCCTCGACGGACCCCTATTCCACCCTCCCGCCAAACGATGGGCTGCCCAGACGGACACGTGCACAGAACCGGTTAGTCGTTCTTAACGGTTTGTGAACCGCTCAGGGGTCTCGTCTTAAGCGAGTTGCCGAATCTTCCTTGCTCGTGCTAGGCATGCCAGGCACCATGACGGATGATGGAGTATCGGAATTTTGGCCGGGAGACCGTTACATAGGACTGATTCACCACCGCCGTCTTCCGAGTATCCTCGCCAGCTCGTTTAGCTTGTCCCATTGCGCGTGTCGCTACGCGGAGATCAATTCCTCGAAGAAGGTCTGCCGAGATCATCATCAGCATCGCTGCCAATCCAGAGCCATGCTCAGGAAGCACTCAGCTTTACGGCACGACTCTCATCTATCTGCCATCATGATCACTCATTGAACTATCCCACAATCCCTCAACTGATACCTATTCCACGAGCAAAGCTGGGCCTAGCTGTTACCACCTGGCTCGGATTTCATTCCATTCATGACCTTCCAAGATTTTGAAGGCTCCACGTTGCATCAGTTGTCAAGGCCAAAGACCGTGTGTTCGGCTCCTTTAACCGTGCTTCAGTCATAGTGAGTCCGGACAAGCGGCTTTCCGGTCTCGCCCTTGGTGGCTCCCCTGCTGCCGCTTTGGCCGTGGAGGTGATGTTAGCCCTGGCAATCTTCTCTTGCCTCTACACTGCCGATGGCTTCTTGTTCCTCCGAGTTTGTATACTCAGGAGCCTCAGGGATAAGGTGGCTGGCGACTGTGAAAGACTGATGAGCAACAATTCGCATGATCAGGCAAATCATACAGCCAGTGACTTGAGCCAAGCAACTTCGTGTGAACAACATGCACCTCTCGTCTATGGGTTGATTGAGAAGCCGAACAGGTGAAGTCATCATCCACATGACATCCATCTACATCTAACAGATTGCCGGGAATGCGGGGGGCTCAAACAGTTGTTTCATGAAAATGCAGGTCTGATTCGCCAATTCCAAATAAAGCACCGTCCACGGCAGCTTCAACGCGAGACGTACCGAATGTCCTCAATCCAGGAACAATGTGTCGATCTCATTGCGGCTTAAAAACCAGATTTACCTGCTGTGCCAACGGAAAGGTATTTACTAATCGCCGGCTAAACGGGAGGATGAAGGCGGCCTTTGCGGAGAACGAAGCGATATATTGCGGACAACTTCCGTGACTGGGTTCACCTCAAGATTTACGAACCTGACATGCTGTGCTGCCGATTGTATTGACAAGAGAGGGTCATATGGGCGTCACAAGGTCACGATACCCTTGGAACTCGACAACTAGCAGCAACACAACACCGCCCTCGGCCTGCGAGTTCATTACCCAGATTTGTCCAGAATACCGTTCAGGCATGCCCGCATCAGACCATGCCACAGTGATGTTGGGGAACTATCATTTGCTCGCCTATATGAGGACGCAGTAACAGTGGGGGTAATGTGATGATATAGGGGAACGGTATATATTAACTGTGTTATCACCTGCAGCTCCCGAATATCAAATCTTCCTCCTCCCTGCTCGATACCACCTCCTATCTGCACTTCCCACGAACTGTTTCGTTTCGTAGCTTGGGTCACCATGCCCAATCCCGACGACTCACATCAATATTTGAAGAGAGACAAAACGGCAGTGCTCTCAAATGCTTTGGCGATCCTGGTTCACTAGCTGATATGTCGGCACTTCTTCTTGAGCAGATCAATTCATTCAAACTTCACTAGACCTAGGTATGTCCAGACTGGTCCATGGACCCTTTCCGCAGAATCGAAACATATTGGACTATATAATCAGACATGACCGAGACGTTTGACCACGTTGCCGGATTATAACGAACAAACTGATAATACAGGGTGTGAAACATGGAATTATACAATGCTTACCTGGCATACTTCAACATTTCATTCTCTCCATGAATTCGCGTCGGCCAAGTTCAGTATAACCGTTGGACTGGGCCTGAATCGTTACTGAAGCTTGGCTGTTTGGTTCAAAGAGGGACGAATAAAAAAGGAGGCGGCCTTGCTACGCCTGTTCCTTTCCCACACAAAGATACCCTTACGATGGCTGTAACAATGCCATGTGTCTGCACGCACTCACATAATTAGTGTACTTGTTTGATACTTGATAGCTGGCGACTAAGGCGTGATGGTAAATATCTCTGATATGGAAGGAGAGCCAGTCGGACCTACGTGTGCTGTGCAAGTCGAGCTTCTCCAGATGTGTGGAGCGAGGGACGTTGTTCGCTCTGGTGTATTGAGGAGATGGTCAAAGCTCAAGCTTCAGCAATATCGCGATAGGATATCCGTCCCCCTCCGCACTAACAGACGACTCCCTCGTTATCCTATCGGCTGATGTCATTCCACACCTTACGACCAAGAAGGAAGGCGTGAAGGAAAGCGAAGGGTAAGAGCGGCTCTTTGTGATAAAACATTGCGAATTGAAAGCTCAGATTACTAAATAGTCCCAACAAGGTAGTACCACACACTGGCGCACACTACGTAGCGGGAATAATTGCAACGAA